TCATTTTTACTTCCTCAGGCGGATTATTTCCAGCGGCATTTGCTTCGACCTGCTGTTCCCGGTCTGCCCAACGCTCACATTCGAGCTGCGTCCGCCGAGACCAGCCACCGATTTCGTTCGTGGACGCCGAACAACAGTCCGCGCACGTAAGTGCAACCCAGTTCATTGAATTTTTCCAATCAGTGAACGCCATTGAGCCCAACTATGGGCTAAACGCCTTTTTCCAGCTTGTCCATTATCAGGTAGAATGGTTTAAGTTTAGCCATTTTCCGCTGAGTCTCACGTAATTATTCCGGTACTGCCATTGAAAGGAGCTCTCATGTCCCCCCACTCATTGGTCCAATATCGATAAGCCTACTCTCTAAGGTAGTAGGCTTCCCAAAGTCTCCGATGGGGTTTCAAACGCACCTCAATCCATTCAAGACCTTCCCATCAAGTTGCGTTTGACTGTGCAGCTAACTTGTACTTCCACGTTGAGTGCACGCGCGGATAATGGCTATTACATCGAATGACGTCATTGTGAGCGGATATTCTTCTACAAGACTGGTGTATGCGTAACAGCTGACACTTCATCGTGCAAGACGAGATCGATTTAACCTGAGGGGTCGATAAATACTGCTTGATTGCGTCAGCCGTTAAATGAAATATTGCCATCGCCCTCTCTGGTGCTGTCAAAACGAAGAACTGCTCTGTCGCTTCGTTAAACATCAATTTTGCTGATGAATGGCGTCTTCTTTGACGTCTTGGTAACCAGACAACCAGGTTATTGTGAAACTGTGTAGACGGTGTCCGTCCAGTACAATACAAACATTTCTTTACCCGGCAGTAGAGTGCCGTAGACACTGCCGGGCTTTGAAATGACAGTTTGCCGATGAGCACCTCGGTAGACTTCTGGTAACGGCAAGTATCACAAGGTCCTACAGTTCAAAGCCTACAGAGATGGGGTTTCATTACACACCGCCGGCAACAAGTGCACTCTTGCGTGCAGTTTCGGTCACAAGTTCCTTCCTCGGGGACTTAGCAGCGATGCTCTTACAGACAGTCTGTTTGGTACTTGCCATCTCCGTGAACAAGGAGAGAGCTGTTCATAGTGCAACCCTGGAAAACTTGTTTTCGATCTGAGGTGAGATTTGTCGCAAAGAATAAGCGGTTTTTCTTTCCCCTGCTATGCAAGAGGATGGAAGGTTTTTTCAGCGGATTGAGGAAACTCGTGAATGCAGCCGTGCAGCCACATTTTCATTGAAAACCGCCACCGCCAATCCAAACACCCACAGAAGTGATCTCGAAGAGTTACTCATTAGACTAACGTTGCAGTGAAGTCTGTCCGAGTAGAATTGGAGCTTGGCATCAATTGCGAGGGTACATTTCGGACATTCCGAATTAGTTCTACAACATTTTGGACGGAATTCTTCTTCGTCTACCTATTTTGGCCATCATATCAACATTGCGTCGGGGTTATCCGCACAAATGAGAGACCTTCCTTAAAGGATTGACGGCGCCACGCGATTTAGACCAAGCCCTGGTTCAAGAACGAGGACCCGATTTAGGCGTTGGATCTACCCTGGTCCACGAGTACGACTGGGCTGTACATCAAAATTTGGTTCCTAATATTGGTTTGTGCATTTGTTTATTCATTGAAAAAGCTTCCAAGATGTCATTCTGCCCCGCAGACCGTCTTTCCTTACTGTTATTCTTTGCAGTCCTCAGCATCGCCATCATCATCATGACTATCATCTGTAAGTGCCGCGTACTGGTCGTACAGTGGTCGTAGCTGCCACAGTTTCGTTCACCGATGACTCGGGGAAGTGGGGTAGGTAGCTGCGCACCGGAGGCGGAAGCTGATAAACTGGCGCGCAAAAACAGTACTGTTAGTGGACTGTTAAGTGCGGGGATTGGAAAGAGCGCTATGCATTGAAGGCAATAGCTTAGATTCATGAACGCCACTGAAGGCGCGACTGGGCCATGTCTGACAATGTCTCTAACCAGTGATATGGCTCGTCTCGGGGTCCCCATCTAGGAATACGCCAGTAACCAGCGCAGCTGAGCTCCCTGGTACTGGCTTTCATACTTCGCTGTCAAGTTATTGTTTGACCGCCTCTGGCTCGTTTCCACCCTTCATGTGGTTGTCCGGATAGAGCCATTCGAGGAAGTCGGTCGACTGGCATACTGGGCACGTGACCATGCCAGCGTAACCTATACAGTGTGATCAGTCCATCTGTCATGGGTGACTAGTTTCTTCATAATACCATTCGACGTATTTCAGCATTACTGATCCGATATTCTAACCAGACTCGGGCAATGCTCCGAAGACATTGATGGTCAAACACTGAAAGCCTTTGGAGATCCTCGGCGCGTAGGGGCCACGTTTTTGGCCGACGGTCCAGAGCTGATAATCAGGTTTTCAAGTTAAACTAGAGACACACACACCACCTGAATATAATCTGTTGGTATCTGGCGCGCTGCTGTGTGATACGATTCACGACGGAATGCATCTGAGGACTTCGAACCACACAACTGTTTGGTTCACTAACTGCTGTGAAATTTAGGCAAGTCTTGGAACGAAAAGTAAGTGAGATTGCACCACGTATTCACGAAACGAAGGGTGCATATCGCTTTGGGTGGGAAACCGACAGTGCTACCATGCACACAGGCAAAATTTGTCCCCAACATTCGTCATTCAAGCCCATTTTAACTGCGTTTTCATGCAACTTGAGTGGAGGTTGAATCAAGGTTACTGGGTGAAACACAGAACATCTGATTAATGTTCTCTTCACTGAATGTACGCGGTTCTTCGGTGCGTTTTGAATGTAGAGGGTACACAAAAAATAAAAGAGAGATATGGTTTCATCGATTAGAAAAACATCGTTTTCGATAGTCAGCCTTTCAAAGTCGAGTGCCGGGATCTGTGCTTTTGCTATCGACTTTTGCAAACTGCGGCGTGTGTAAATACCTAGACGGGAGCAAAAAATACAATAAATGGATGTAGAATCAACCATTCAGCTATAATTTCAGCCATGCCGACATCGCATTCCACCCTCCTTGTGTATGCACAAAGGTACAACTACTGGTGGACGTCGATCAGATTCGTTCTAGCCGCTGGAAACAACGGTGAATGTTCTACGCTTCTATTCCAAACGTGGTAACGAGAATCGGAAGAGTCCGGCGCTTTCATACACAGATTCCCAGTTGTCTGCTCCTCCACGGTTTCAACAAGTTGAATGAGGAGTTCAGTTACACACCTTTGGAATATGTCCTCGGAAGAATGCTCCACCGACCGAGCTACCGAGGATGCCTGTTGTCCATCACACTTAGGAATTAAAACTTTGCTGTTGGCTCACTACGCCTCTGCCTACTTGAATGACAGCCGAGATATGTCATTGCCTCTGATGTGTCCTTAATGTGACTTCTACACCGGACCAGACAATACTATCTCCCAAACACCCAAAGGTGGAAATGTAGAGATGGACTTTGGTGGTTCTTGAAACGACCGGTTCAGATACACGACAGTTTGTTTGACAGTAAGACGCAGTCGTCGCTATCGTCGGTTTCTGGTCATTCTTCATGGTGGTACGCACGAATGCCGTTTAGTCAGACTTCCCGCACTTTTCCTTTAACAAGTCAGAGCTGAATCTCTCGTTCTTAAGCTGAGTTCTAGGTGAGTCTTCCGTCAAAACCAAATCGCTGTGCATACGAGCGTGTAAGTCATATTTCCTGCAATTTGTGTTCAAGGAGAACCGAAGGTTGATCGAAACTCAGGGACCACACCTACCTGATGAGCTCCAAGAACGGCATAACCGGTCGTGGGCTGTTGAAGAGTTTTTAGCAACCTTGTGAATCGTGCAACGCTGACTGACTTCTTTTTTTGGCAACACTCTGAATACTCCTCCAGGTCACCTTTCGAAGTTTGCTTGCACAGAACAAGAGTGGCTAACCAAACTACTATTCTGTGGCCCCCTTAGCTGTGCATGGTTTCATGAGTGAGCACTAATCAAACCTTCGATGTACGCTTATTAACATTATCCCCATACTGCGTCGAAGAACATACACTGTCTCTTTTTCGCATAAACCTAGTAACAACCGGTAGATTTGCTACAGGGCAACGTTTCGCTTTTGACACTAAAGCTTCGTCAGGCCAAGTGACTAGGTTACGAGGTCGGTCAAGATTTAAGCCGGAAGGAGGACCAATCAACTAACTCAAGCTAAATCACTATTGGAGTCGGTCGAGGGATTTCGTTTCAATTGCATGTCGATTCGGGGAAACTGCTGGCATGGGAACTAACGGTTCCTCCCGAAATTCTACCAAATGACCTGGCCATGTAGCTTTTGCGGACAAAGTCTCGCGCACGTCCCTCTGTCACGGAGGTTTCATCACTAGCGCGTCATACTAACCGGTCTTTGGATTAATTGGCCAAATCTTGCTTTCAAACTACCAATAGATGGTGTGGTAAGCAACCTTGGTAGATACAAGCTCCTGTAAAATGGATTGCAGACAAAACTGCTTGTTCAGCACCGGTGAACATCATCATCGACAGCATAACATCAATGTTCAACACCGGTGCTCTGCTGCCGTACAACCATGGTTTATTTGAAAACCTTATTACAAAGGGTAAAGGTGGACGGGGAAGAGACTT